AACTTTATGAATTGCAAAGAAACACTGTCAGATGCAGTGCCGGAAAATGAGCCCCTCATGTTGGAAGGCACTCAAAATTCAACTAAGGAAGAGCTGGCTCCTCAAAGTATATTGGACTGTGGTGATGCGAATGGAGTAAAGCCAGTGGGAGTAAAGCCTGAGGGACTGTCATTTGCTGATGGAGCACAACTCAAAATGAAGAGAAGAAGCTGTAAACATCCAATCATAATCAGAACATGGAAGGTATGAAGTATGAATCTTGGAAAATGTTAAAAATGAAATAGAATGCATAAACATCGCAATATCTTAGACATTAGTGTGCTGAAATGGCCTGGTATTGGCCATTTTGAATCTGACAACCACATGGTTTACTGTACTGGGAATGACACATTGAAAAGTAATGGTACTGTATTCATTGTCAAAAGGACATATCCAAATCAGTCATGAGGTGCATTGCTGTCTGTGATAGGATAATATTCATGCACCTACAGGGAAGACCAGTTAATACCACTGTTATTCAAATTTACGCACCAACCATTAAAGCCAGTGAGGATGAAATAGGATGAAATACCAACTTTTCTATCTGACATTGATCAAACTTGCAATCACTACTTTTATTCATACAGCATGAGTCATCCCATGAGTCAGAAACTACTCTTGATGACAAACTATTTTCATCACCACCATTACTACTTAACCTTTCTGAGTCTTATTTTTCTCATGTACAATAAGCGTTAACTAAAGATTCTCTGGGCAAATTATTGAATGATGCAGAAAGCATTAAGAGAAGATGGAAGGAATACACAGAGTAACTGTACCAAAAGGAAGTGGTTCATGTTCAAATATTTCAAGAGGTAGCATATGATCAAGTGCCAATGATACTGAAAGAGGAAGTCCAAGGTGCATTGAAGGAATGGGCAAAGAACAAGGCACTAGGAATTGATGGAATAAAAATTGAAATCTTTCAAAAATGTGAGGCGGCACAGGAGGCACTCACTCATCTCTGTCAAGAAATTTAGAAGACAAGTATCTGGCCAACTGACTGGAAGAGATTTGTATTTGTGCTCATTCCAAAGAGACGTGATCCAACAGAATGCGGAAATCATCGGCCAATCTCTTTGATATCCATGCGAGTAAAGTTTTGCTAAAAGTAATATAGAAACAGCTACAACCATACATTGACAGAAAGCTTACAAAGATTCAAGCTGGATTCAGAAGAGGCTGTGGAACGAGGGATATCATTGCTGATGTCCAATGGATCTTGGCTGAAAGCAGAGAATATCAGAAAGATGTTTACCTATGCTTTATTGACTATGCAAAGGCTTTCGATTGTGTGGATCATGACAAGCTGTGGACAACATTGAGGAGTACGAGTATTTCAGAACACTTAATTGTGCTCATGAGGAATCTGTACCTGAACCAAGAAGCAGTTGTTTGAACAGAACAAGGGAACACTGAATGTTTTAAAATTAAGAAAGGTGTGTGACAAGGTTGCATTCTTTCACCATACTTATTCAACCTGTATGCTGAGCAAATGATCCGAGAAGCTGAGTTATATGAAGAAAAACATGGCATGAGAATTGGAGGAAGACTCATTAACAACTGGCGATATGCAGATGATACAACCTTGCTGGCTGAAAGTGAAGAGGACTTAAAACATTTACTGATGAAGATCAAAGAACACAGCCTTCAGTATGGATTCCATCTCAATGTAAAGAAAATAAAAACCTTACCACTGGACTAATATACAACATTCATATCAATGGAGAAAAGATTGAAGTTGTCAAGGACTTAATTCTTCCTGGAACATTCATGGAAGCTGCAGCCAAGAAATCAAACGATATATTACATTAGGCAAATCTGCTGCACAAGACCTTTTTAAAGTGTTGAAGAGCAAAGATGTGAGCTTGAAGACTAAGGTGCACCTGTCCCAAGCCATGGTATTTTCAATAATCTCATATGCATGCAAAAACTGGACAGTGAATTAAGAAGACTGTAGAAGAATTGATGCTTTTGAGTTATGGTGTGGGAGGAGAATATTGAAAGTGCCATGGGCTGCCAAAAGAACCAATAGATCTGTTTTGGAAGAAGTGCAGCCAGAATGCTCCTGGAGGCCAAGATGGCCAAACTTCAATTCTCATGCTTCGGTCATATTGTCAGGAGGGACCAGTCACTGGAGACTCAAGTGTGGCAACAATAGTGAGGTTAGCCCACGATGGGCTGTGTTTCATTCTGCTGTGCATAAGGTTGCTATGGGCCAGTACCGACTCAATGGCACCTAACAAAAACAACAATGCTGAGTTCTGGTGTGGCACTGTGGGTTAACACAGTGCCACACCAGACAAAGCCATTTGAACTTCAAGATCAAGCTCTCTAGTTGCTCTTCGGAAACCCTATACACGGTGTCGCTGTGGGTCGGAATCCACTCAAGAGAACTTAACAACAATGACAACAAGGCTGATCTGGGAGTCCTGATATGGTGCTGTAGGATAAGAACTGTTCTGCAAGGTCCTTTAAATTGTAAGGTCAGTGGTTCAAACTAGCCAGCTACTTCTAGGAAACCCTATACAGAAGTAGCTATGAGTCGGAACTGACTCAACGGCACTTAATAACAACAACAATGCTGATTTTAAAATTAGTTAAGGGGATTAAGTAATAAAATAGATGTAAAAGTATCTAGTACATCATGTTTTGTATGTACAGATATATAGAAAGATATTTTTGGGAAGCTACACATACTGTCTTCTTTAGTCACTTATATGAGTCATGTCACTGAAAGTCACCATTGACAACCTTTCCCTATATATTAAAAGTAAAAAAAATAAGCTCTCATAAAATTGTTATTTGTTTTTGTCACTACTTGTAATGTCTGTCTGCACATCAGAAACAGGTTAATTAGAATTTATACGATGAATTTAAAAAACATACTGATCAGAGATGATAAAAAAAGAGTCTATTGTGAGAAAGGAATGTACAGTATAGACAGGGCTTCAAACTGGTTCATTCTAGTTCAAGCCCCTTCTGAGCATTTGCATCCCACCCCAAATATATGGAATCAGAATCTATATTTTAACAAGATACCCAGGTTCTCATGTGTGCATAAGAATCAAAGGGGAATATAAAGGAATTTCATGGAATCTTGTCAAAAGATAGATTCTGATTCAATGTATCTGGAGTGGAAAGGTAAATTCTCAGCAGGGGGTCGAATGAGAATGAACTGGCCCAAAGCCTTTGTACAATAGGACAAGCTTCCTTGACATTCCATAATAAATAAGAGAACATATTTTTGAAGACTTTATCTTGCTAAAAATCCTCTGGATTTTTACTGACTTCAAAGACAACATGATATGAAAGAAAACACTGAGAATCACTAACTAAACCTAGGTCTAATAGTTCTCACTTGAGCAAGACCCCTCTGTGATCTACGTTTTTACAATATGTTTGCAAAGAAAATGCCTTGCCTGGAATTTTCCTCATATCTTTGTATGGAAAATTGTAAGTCATTTGTCAAGAACACACTTTCATTTAATAAAAAATGTTTATGAAGGCTCTAATATGCATAATGCCTTTTAAGTATGGTGTTGGAAAAGAACATTATACATACCATGGACTGTCAGAAGAATAAGTATATCTGTGTTGGAATTAGAACTGCCAGAGTGCTCCTTAAAAGTGAAGACAGCAAGACTCAGTCTCACATACTGTGGGCACATTTTCTGGAGGGACCAGAGCTACCCTGGAGAAGGATATCATGCTTGGTAAAGTAGAGCGTCATAGAAAAAGGAAAAGACCCTCAATATGATTGATTGAAACAGTAGATACAACGATGGGCACTGTGAAGATGATACAGAACAGGGAAGTGTTTTGCTCTATTGTCCATGCTGTTGCTATGAGTCAGAACTGACTGGACAGCACCTAATAACAACAGATATGCATGAAGTGAATACTAGGCACTGAGGATATAGCAAAATCAGACTATAATCTAATCCTTTTGTTACTCTACACCAAGGTTCCCGTGAAGCTCCCACAAGGCACCTAGTTTAGTTGTTGATATCCCTGCAGTTCAAAACTACCAGCCATTCTATGGAAGACAGATGAGGCTTTCTGCTTCTATAAAGATTTATAGCCTCAGAAACCCTATACAGGGTCACTATGAGTCAGAACCGACCCTACGGCACATCACCACTACCACCATCAAACTGTAAGCGATTACAAAGCAATCTATATATTTATGTGGCTGTTTTCCAAGTCAGGCAGAGAACACCACAAAAATAAGAATGAGGTTTATTCATCTATTCTATGCCACAGAATGAGTCTGAGTCTGACACACAGTGGGTGCCTAATAAATGTTTGTTGAATGAATCATTCATTATTCATAAAGCCTTGATACAGTCCAATGCATTTTAGTAAAGTGAAATGATTCTTCTAATGAATATTAGAGAAGTGGAAACAATTATGTTCAAGAAACGTGCATATTTTTGAGACATTCTCCCCAACCCCTCCTTCCTATTTTATCTGTAATCCTAGCAAATGTCAAAGGTTTTTAATGAGATGCATAATATAAATACAAGTGGCTAGTTTGCCTTTATCCATTTTAAAATCATAAGACTTTGAGGGAGGAGATTGTTATGAGCTTCCATGTAAATGGGAATACCTATGCATATGACTTAATACACTGGGGGTTTGTGAAATTTCTATTACAATAAAAAACATTCATCCAGAGATGGGAAGTGATAAACAATATTAATAGAATCTGAGTTCACAACACCAAAGTCTAGGACATCCTCCAAATAGGTATGAAGTTGCTTTTAATAAAACACTTTGGATCTAAAAGTTTTCCCCAAGTTTGTTAAAGTTTAACTTTCCATTAAAAATAGGAGAAGGAAATAAAATAAAAAGCAAAACAAAACTTATCAGGACCTGTGCCAATAAAAGAAAAAGATCTCTATCTTCAAGTTGCAGTAGGCATGCAAAATGACTGAAGAGTGAAACTATAAAAGTACCTACTTGGTCTGGTGTTTGGATCCTTTCAGATGAGCATGATACTGTTCTATTGAGTTTAGGGATACACTGCAGATGGTACATCTGTAATTGCGTCTCAAACCTGTGGACAGCAAACAAACTAGGTTAGCTGTATCCAGCCATCAATCACCTGAACATACCTGAGAACCAACAAATGTTCAGGGGCAGAGTATCCTAGAGGTCATCTAGTCTACCCCTCCAATGGCATGTCATCCATTCCTTCCAGACAATATTAGATCCTTCTGCAGAAGTGCAAATATAGATATGCTAGAAGCATCTTGCTTCATTTTTGAATGGCTGGAATAATTAAAACATGCATCTTTAAATTGAGCTCAGAAATCCCTGAACATCACTCAAAGAAAAATCATGCTACTCCCCAACCCCCAAGGCATATAGGTAGAGTAGGCTGTAATCTTTGCAAAGATTTCTGAGAGACTCTGGAGAAAACTGTTTCCCAAGTCCTACCCCTCTCCAACCTCTAGCAAATCAGAAATTCAACTTTAAATATATTTTATTTGTGTTCTTCTTCCAGCATCATCTTACAAAATGGAAATACACAGGAGAATGATAATGCATTAATCTAATTCACATGAAAGCTTACTTCTCACCAGAGAGCTTAAAAGAAAATTTATTCATTCATTTGTTTATTCATTTAACTCATCATTAATAGAACACAAACCTTGAACCAGGCACTTGGGATTCCAAGATGAATTAAAATGCTCTTTGCTTGTAAGTAAAAATCTTGAGTATTTTAATAATACTGACTCATCTAGAGCCAAACCACACCCTTCACTTATCAATTTGTTATACTGTGGCAGCTTGCATGTTTCTCTGATGCTGGGAGCTAAGCCACCAATATTTCAAATAGCATCAGGGTCATCCATGGTAGACTGGTTTCACAGAGCTTCCAGAGTAAGAGACTAGAATGAAGGACCTGGAAATCTTCTTCTAAAAAAGTTGACCAGTGGAAATCTTATGAATAGCAGTAGACCATTGGCTGATTAAGCACTGGAAGATGAACATTTCTTTGGAAGTTGGTAAGTACTCAAAATACAACTTGGCAAGAGTGCCTCTACAAAGTAGAGTCAAACTTACTTATATGGATAGAGCAATGCTTTCAGTGCCTTTATTTGCTTTGTGGCATGAAGCAAAATAGAAGAAATCATTGCAAAAAATCCATTAAATATTGGAACAAGGAATGTACAAAGTATGAACCTAGGGAAATTGGAAGTTGTCAGAAATGAAATGGAAGACATAAAGATTAATATCCTATGCATAAGGGCCACCACTCATCTATCAGTTTGTCATACTGTGGTGGCTGGTGTGTTGCCTTGATTCTGGAAGCTATGCCATGGGTATTTTAAATACCAGCAGGGTCACCATTGGTGGACAGGTTTCAGCTGACCTTCCAGATGAAAAAAACACTAGGAAGAAAAGACTATTTCTGAATATTTAGCCATTGAAAACCTTATGAATAGTAGTGGAACACTGTCAGAACCAGAAAAGTGACTATTGAAACATGGTGAAGAGTACCAGAATATTGTCAGATACAGATCCAGAAGATGAGCCCCTCAGGTTGGAAGGCATTCAAAATACGATTGGGGAAGAGCTGCCTCTTCAAAGTAGAGTTGACTGTGATGACTCAAATGGAACAAAGATCTCAAGAACTTCATTTGCTGATGGTCACAACTCAAAATGAAGAGAAATAGCTGTAAACATTCATTAATAATCAGAAAATGGAATGTCTGAAGTATGAATCAGGGAAAATTGGAAATTGCCAAAAATTAAATGGAATGTATAAACATCAATATCCTAGATATTAGAGAGCTGAAATGGACTAGTATTGGCCATTTTAAATCTGACAATCATATGGTTTACTATGTCAGGAATGACAAAGTAAGAATACTGTCGAATTCTTCATTAAAAAGAACATATCAACATTATTTATGAAGCACAATAATGTCTGTGATAGGATAATATCCATACACCTATAAGAATTATCAGTGAATACCACTATTATTCAAATTTATGCACCAACCACTAAAGCTAGTGATGATGAAAATGAAAACTTCTTCCAATTTCTTCAGTCTGAAATAGATCAAACATGCAATCAAGATGTATTGATAATTACTAGTGATTGGAATGCAAAGGTTGGAATCAAAGAAGAAGAATCAATAGTTGGAAACTACAGCCTTGGTGATAGAAACGATGCTAGAGACTGCATGATCGAATTTTGCAAGACCAATGACTTGTTCATTGCAAGTACCTTTTTTATACAACATAAAAATTGACTATACACATGGACCTCACCAAATGAAATACACAAATCAAATTGACTACATTTTTTGGAATGGGTTGGTGGAAAACCTCCACATCATTAGTCAAAACAAAATCAGGGGCAGACTGTGGAACAATTTATCATTCATATGCAAGTTCAGGATGAAGCTCAAAAAAATTAAAACAAGTCCAAGGAAGTCAAAATATGACCTTGAATATATCCGACCTGAATTTAGAGACCATTTGAAATACAGATTTAATGCATTAAACACTAAAGACTGAAGACCAGATGGGATGACATAAAAAACACCATACAGGAAGAAAGGAAAAGACCAAAATGGATGTCAGAAGAGACTCTGAAACTTTGTCTCTAACACAGAGATACTAAAGCAAATGGTAGAAATCAGAAAGTCAAAGAACTGAACAGAAAATTTCAAAGGTCAGTTTGAGGAGACAAAGTCAAATAATATAAAAAAATGTGCAAAGTTATGGAGTTAGAAAACAAGGGAAGAACACACTTAGCATTTCTCAAGCTGAGGGAACTGAAGAAAAAAGTTCAATCTTGACTTGTAGTAGTGAAGAATTCTATGGGCAAAATACTGAATGATTCATAAAACGTCAAAAGAAGATGGAAGGAGTACACAGAGTCACTGTACCAAAAAGAAATGGTCAATGTTCAACCATTTCATGAGGTAGCATATGATCAGGAGCCAATGATTCTAAAGGAAGAAGTCCAAGATACACTGAAGTCATTGGGAAAGAAAAAGGCACTGGGTATTGATGGCATACAAATTGAAAATTTTCAACAAATTGATGTGGCCCTGGAGACACTCACTCATCTATGCCAATAAATTTGGAGGACAACTATCTGGCCAACTAAGGAGCTCTGGTAACGTAGTGGTTATGAATCGGGCTGCTAACCTGATGGTCAGCAGTTCAAAACTACCAGCTGTTCTGCAGGAGAAAGATGAGGCTTTCTGCTCCCGTAAAGATTTACAGCCTCAGAAACCCTGTACAGAGTCGCTTTGAGTCAAAACCGACTCCACGGCACATAACACCAACAACATCTGGCCAACTGACTAGAAGAGTGCATTTGTGTCCATTCCAAAGAGAAGTGACCCAGCGGAATACAGAAATCATCAAACAATATCATTGATATCCCATGCGAGTAAAGTTTTACTAAATATAATGCAAAAACAGCTGTAATCATACATTGACAGAAAACTTCCAGAGGTCAACCCAGATTCAGATGAGGATGTGAAATGAGGGATATGATTGCTGATATCAGATGTATCTTTTTAGAAAGCAGAGAATACCAGGAATATGTTTACCTATGCTTTATTGACTATGCAAAGGCTTTAGATTGTGTGGATCACGACAAACTATTGACAAGATTGTGAAGTATGAGTATTCCAGAACCCTTAATTGTGCTCATAAGGAATCTGTAGATACCAAGAGGCAATTGTTTAAACAGAACAAGGGAACACCAAATGGCTTAAAATTAGGAAAGGTATTTGCCAGATAATAAGCATGCTTATTAAATCTGTATGCTGAGCAAATAATCCAAGATGCTAGATTATATGAAGAAAAATATGGCATCAAGATTGGAAGGAGACTCATTAACAACCTGTGATATGCAGATGCTACAACCGTACTTACTGAAAGAGAAGAGGACTTGCAATACTTACTGATGAAGATCAAAAACCACAGCCTCCAGTATGGTTCGCATCCCTACGTAAAGAAAACAAAAATCCTCACCACTGGACCAACAGACAACATCCATGTAAATGGATAAAAGATTGAAGTTGTCCAAGACTTGATTTTGTTCAAATCAACCATCAACACTCATGAAAGCAGCAGTCAAGAAACCAAAAGATGTACTGCGTTGGGCAAATCTGCTACACAAGATCGCTTTAAAGTGTTGAAGAGCAAGGATGTCAGTTGGAGGATTAAGGTGTATCTGACTCAAGGCATGGTATTTTCAATAACCTCATATGAATGCAAAGTTGGACAGTGAATAAGGAAGACCATAGAAGAATTGATGCATTTGAGTTATTGTTTGGGAGGAGACTATTGAAAGTACCATGGGCTTCCGAATGAACAAATAAATCTGTGTTGGAAGAAATACAGCCAGAGTGCTCCTTGGAATCCAGGATGGCTAGACTTCTTCTCTCATACCTGACATATTGTCAGGAGGGACCAGTCACTGGAGAAGGATATAATGTTTTGTAAAGTGGAGGAGCAGAGCCAAATAGAAAGATCCCCAATGAGATGGACTGGCACAGTGGCAGCAGCAATAGGCTCAGGTGTAGCAACAATCGTGAGGTTGGTCCAGGACTGGACACTGTTTAGTTCTGTTGTGCAGAGGGTCACTATGAGTCAGTACCAACTTGATAGCACTTAACAACAAGCATTTGTGAGCTGAAATGAACTGATGTTGCTCATTTTGAATTAGACAGTTATAGGATTTACTCTGGCAGTGAATGCTTGAAAAGGAATGACATTGCACACGTCATGAAAAAAAATTTTTCAACAAGTACAAGGTTGTTAGTGATATATATATATATATATTTGTTGTTGTTGTTGTTAAGTGCCGTTGAGTCGGTTCTGACCCATAGTGACCCTGTACAGGGTTTCCGAGACTGTAAATCTTTACAGGAGCAGAATGCCTCATCTTTCTCCCACGGAGCAGCTGGTAGTTTCGAACTGCTGGCCTTAAGGTTTGCAGCCTGATTCATAACCACTACGCTACCAGAGCTCCTTGTATACACACACACACACACACACACATATGCCTATAGGTAA